GCACGAGAAGACCCCCCCCCCCCACCTCCAGCTGGCTAAGGTGGGACAGTACCGGGGTGCAGGCCAGGACAGTACCCGCATGTGCTCCCGCTCTCCACCTACTTCAGGCCTGGGCAGGAACTGACAGTGAGGTCATTCTTTGCCCCCGGGGCCCAGGGGGCGTGACCACTGTTGGGACCCAGGGTTCAGACCTGATTTCTTCCCCTTAGTCTCCTCCTCTCTGACCCGGCATCTCTTCCTAATCCTGGAGGGATCAGAAGAGGAGGCCTTAGGGGGAGGAGGGGGAGGCTGGCAGTTCTGTGTCTGTGAATGGAGGGGAGCATAGCTTAGGGGTTGAAGGAGCACCCCCCTTCTGGCTGCTGCTGAGCAGTCCCCCTGGGGTGGAGCCCCTGCCTACACCCACCAGTGGGGTTCTTCCTGTAATACAGAAGCTACTGTTTGGCCTGGCTTCCAAGGACATCCACCACCAGTGTCCTTCCACCTTTCTGTCCCTCGTTCCCCAATCCTGCCCGGCCCTGAGAGCCAGGTCCACCAAGTGATTCCCTGGGAGACCCACTGTTCTCACTCTGTGCTTTCTGCCTGGGATGTTTTCCCTCCCTTGACCCACTTCTGATCTGCTCTACACCATGCCCACTGTGTGACCTCTGGGCAAATGACTAAAGCCTCTATGCTTCAGCGGGCCAGCCTAGAAAATAGATAATTCTACCGACCCCATGGTTACAGAAAAGGAAATGATATACATGAATAGCCTAGAGCGGTGCCTGGCCCATAGCAGGTGCTCAGCAACGACTAGCTATTACTGTTACTCCCATCCCGTGAGGAGCTCCCCAGGGGAAGCACTGTCCCCAGTTCGTGCTGTAACCACTCATTGTTTGTGGACTCCTTCCTCTGTGCTACCACAATATCCAGCACCTAGCTTTATCACAGAACTTATCACATCACACCGTAACCGTTTCTTTGCCTGCTTCACCAACTGGCAAAAACTCACCAAGGGCAAAGGCTTGACTTCGTGAACTTTGTTTTCTCAGCGTCTAGCTCAACGGTTGGTCTTCAGTAGATGCCCTCAGCAGGCACTCAATAAATGCTTTTTGAAAGGATATTGAGTGCAGCCCTGTCCACTCAGGAAGGGCCGCCTCCTTTTTAAGGGTTCGGGGCTTTTCCTACCTCCCTCTCAGATGCAAAGGCAGAAGACACACAGAAACATTTGTCAGACTTTCTTTATTCACCTGTAAAAAACCTCACCCACACCACAAACACCGTCACCGTCACCACACACACTCACACACACACGGGCAGATCTAAGATCCCTGTCCCAGTCCCCGGACTCCGGGGGCCCGGCATATACACCTCCTAGCAAGCCCACCCAAGCCCACCACCACCAGAGCTGCAGGAGCAGTGTTCCAGGCCGGAGCTAGGGCTTCCTGGGGCCTCCCCTCTGCAGGCTGTGTGTGCCTTCACCCAGCCTCCTATCAGGCGCTCTCACAGCAGAGTGGCCTGTTCGGGGTGGAGCACTGGCTGTCTATAGACCGGTGGCCGGACCCTAGTGGCATCGCGGCGGCGACGGAAAGCTAGGAATTCCTCCCGGAGGACAGCACAGCGGGCCTCGGGGCCAGAAGCACGGGCAGCGTTCAAGAGGCCACCCTCCTCTGGAGTCTTCACATCTGCAAGAGGGGGGCACAGCAAGGACAGGGCGGGGGTCACAGGTGCAGATGAGCCAAGGGAGAGCAGGAGGAGCAAGGCTGGGGCACGGGGCCTGGCTGGGAACAGACGGGGGAGACGTGGAACGGGGGGG